ATTTTTTTTTTTTTTCCCCCCCCCCCCCCCCCCCCCGTTTACACTTTCCTTTCCCCTCCCGCCCTGCCCCCCCGTTTTTTCAAAAAAAAAAAAAAATGTACCCCCCCCCCCCCCCAGGTTTGAGGACTCCGACTTCCTGGGCGAGCTGCGCAAGCCGGACGACCAGCGGGCGATCAAGTGCGAGATTGTGTGCCGGGAGGAGGCGGTGGAGGTGTGGCGCAAGTACCGGGTGCTGGCCGAGAAGGGCCTGGTCAAGCACTACTAGCATTACCATCGCCAGCACCTATGGAGGCGGGGCGCTGCCCTGGCGCGCCGGGCACAGCTCCACGGCAGGCGGGTGCAGCGCTGCTGAGGTGGAGCGCCTTCCCGGCGCTCCGAGAGCAGCCGCGTGCAGCCCGGCCGCTGGCGCTGTGAGACCAGCTAGGCTGGAAGCTGGCAGCAACCCTGCGCCATCTGTCCACCATACCCCCAACACCCCAAGACACTGCTCCGCCATATCCACTACTCCGCTGTCTCTTTTCCTGCACCCCACCCACCCATGCACCGCCGCCCTGGCTTTCCTGCGGTTGATCGCCCCGGGCTGCCGGCGGCGCCACGGTACAGCCCAGGACCGTCCTCAGCTACCTGTCGAACTGCCGCCAGCGCCCGTGCAGCGCGACCACCTCAACGCCGCCATTGACCACACTCCCCATCTGCTTTTCCTGCCGCCGGCCCGTAAGGCACCCCACCGTGAGCTGTTAGGCTGAGCGAGGCTGAGTGGGCGCTTTATTTTTAGCATCCCAGGTGTGAAGTGAACTGCCGGGCACATCACAGCATGCAGGCACACGGGGGCTCTGCCTGCCTGCCTGCCCGTCCGCCAACCCCGCTGTGCCGCCACGGCTATCCCACCGGGTGCTGTTTCCGCAGCGCTTCCAACACCACCTGCAGGCAGGAGAGGGGGCAGCAGCAACAGCGGTGGAACACACTTGTATGACAACAAAAATAAACGAAGAAGTCAGGGGTGGAGGGGCCCCCACGGTAGCCAGCCACTCGTGTGCCCAGCCGCCTTGCCTGCACCGCCACCATCCGCGCCTGCTTCTTGTCCTCATGTGGCGGCCCAACAGTGCGCTGCACGCCCGCCTGCACCGCGGCAGGACAAAGGGTGCCGGCGCAGGCTGGGAAGTTGTGCAGGCGGGCCGCCCGGGCAGGGCGCTGGCTGGCAGCACGGCGGCTCGAAAACGAGGAGGCCACCAGAGAGACATCTCGCCAAGGACTAGCAGGTGAAAATCAATCCCTCCAAGCTCATTAGGAAGCAGCACGAACACGCACGAACACACACGCGCGCGCGCACGTGCCCGGGCGCGCACCCCCTCCAACACCCCACACCACCACACACAGATCGACCACCCCCCGCCTTTGCCGCCCACCTCTGGCAGGCTCACGGTCACGGTGGTGCGCCCGTCGCGGCCCTTCACCTCCTCATACTGAGCCAGCGGGAAGCGGCACTTGTCGCACAGCTCCTTGATGGCCTGAAGGTGCGGAGAGGGAGGAGGGGAGGAGCGGAGGAGGCAGGGGCGGAGGGATGAGGCGGGGTTGGGGTTGGGGCTGGGGCTCGATGGCATGCGGGCGGCGTACGTGCGGCGGGTGTGTGGGGCGGGGGTGGCGCATTGCGAGCGGCCCGCGCAGCAAGCCGCGCAGCTCGGCAAAGCGCAGGCACAGCACAGCGCAGTGCAGTGCAGCGCAGGCACAGCACAGCGCAGGCACAGCACAGCGCAGCGCGGCGAGCCCCACCATCAGCGGGTTCTTGGCCGCCGGTATCTGCGCCAGCGCCTGCCCTATGCTCAGCGGCGCCTTCTCCAGCTTGGGCCGCTTGGGCTGGCGCTCGCCGCCGCCCGCCTGCTGCTGCTGCTGCTGCTGCTGCTGCTGCTGCTGCTGGGACTGGGGCTGCGCGCCGGGGCGAGGGGACAGGGGTCCTGGGATGCCGCCTGAAGCCAGCGCCTCCTGCTGCCGTTTGAGCTCGTCCATGCGCCGCTGCAGGGCTGCCTGCTCCCGCTGCACCTGCAGGGCGGTCGTAGGGGTGCCGGTGCCGGGCAGGGCATGGGAGAGAGGAGCAGGTGAGCAGGAGGGAGGCCGGCAGGGCCGTTGAAGACCCAAGGCGAACGGCAACATCGCGGCAGGAGCGGAGGTGGCAGGCGCAGGAGCAGCGGCAGGAACAGCGGGGCAGCAGCGGGGCAGCAGCGGGCGCTCAGTCGCCTGGAGCATCGCCAGGTGCTGCTGAGGCCCTCAGCCAGGCTCGTCTCCCTGCCACCACCACACCCACACGACACCGCAGCAGCAGCAGCACCTGCTTCTCAATCTCCCGCTTCTGCCGCTCCGCCTCCCCCGCCACCACCGCGGCATCCAGCCGAAGCTCATGCTCTGTCACAAAGGCGTGAGGCACCTGCGGCGGCGGGCAGCGGGTGGTGGAGGACGGGTGTGGGAGGGGGCGGCGAGGGAGGCAGGGTGATGGTGGGGGAGCCGGTGCTGCTGCGCGCA